TTCTACTAACAGACATCAAGTTAGAGGAAAATGATGACATAAACAGAACTTCAGAGTTATGAGACTTGGAGAAGAAATTGGTTTTACCAAAATTATGGACAGGAGTCAAGGAACCATTCGCAATAGACACAGGGTTCATATTTTTATTATTTTTTATGTTAGATAGACACTACAAGTTACCAATCATATAATTTGTAGTTTCTGAATCTATTATTAAAAAAAAAGTGTTACAGGAAGATATGGAAGCATAAGGGTTACTTGTATTGGGGAATGAAGAAGAATGATCATGTGCGGAGGAAGAGCAGTTGTAGTGATGAGTGGTTGCAGTCTAAGTGGTAGATCTGTCGGCTGTCTTGTGATTAATGAGCCTTAAGTATGGGTATAATATCCAACACCTATTTTTCACATGTCCTATATTATTGCAATGATCACATTTAAGACGCCCTCTATTAGTACGACCTCTTCTACCATCACAATAAATGTTAAGGCCTCTACCTCCACCATTATTTTGAGGCCTTTTTGTTTCATATTTCCCATTATTGGCACTCAAGGAAAAATTTTCAATACTTTCTTCAGAATTTTTGAATCGGGATTCATGATTTTTTTCCTAGTTATACCTCCAAGTTTAGATTTCCAAAAAGAGAATGAGAAACAGCTTTCGACCAAACAAAATAATGAAATCCATTTAAAAGAAAATTAGTATGTTTCATGCTAGAATAATTTTATGAATCTGCCATAATAAGGAGATGGTGGGAACCGAAAGACTTACCTGATCAGAATCGATGGTGAATAAAGAATAGAAGCTGCCTCAATCGGAATCACCAAACATCCCGAAGAATATTATGGTTTCTCTCTCTTGAAATCGCCGATGGCAAGAATGAACCATGCCAAGATTGGAGATGTTCAAGAACGAACCATGCCAAGATTGGAGGTGTTCAAGAATGAACCATGGCTGCTGGTTCGTGGAATAACTTTTAGTAAAGCTTTGCTTCCCAAATCTTTGGCAAGACACTTCCAAGATCAAAGCCTTTTGCACCGGTTTGCAAAGCTTGCAAAAGCACGGCCAAAGTTGCAAAGTTTGCACCAATTTGCAGAAGTGACGGCCAAAGGACATTTCATGGAACAAGCAAACCTCACGGTCAAAGTAAAATTCACGGAATTGGTAGATTGCAAACCTCTTCCGGCAGCAATATCAACGTCAGTTGCAAACCCTGCAATTTATTTTCGTGAAATTTCTTTTGCTCTTGAAATTAATAGTTACGGAAGGTAATGACCATAGACAGCGAAAGATCCACGCCCACCGCAAAAATTGGCTTCAGAGATTTTTAACATAGGTCTCAAGAATTCTGTTCTCGTACCATGTTGGAATTTACCATTACAAAAATAGAGAAACTAAAAAAAATAAATGTATACGTGGTTCTACCTATATCCACAAAGATAAACCACTATGTGATCCATTTATACAACTCTTGCCTTTTAGAAAATAAATCCCATAACAATTATAATCCCAAAATAAAAAACTCAATTTAAGAAACCCAATATCTATTACAATATACTAAACTCAATATATGCTTTTTTATAACTGTCAACAATATCAAATACAGCCATGAATTTAGCCTCGCCAGTGTCGAAGTCTAAGGGCAACTCACAAAGCACCAAAAACAACAGGAAAAAGATCTACACAAAAAGTGACAAATAAAAAGTAAAAAATATCGTTATTATTGGTTAAGAATATATTTTGGGAAAAGTATATGTAGAGCCGAGGCTCTAAGTAATCAAATTGGAGCCTACTACAAAAATTTCACTAAAAGAAGTTGTTTTCATACCTAAATATCTTCAAATTGATCATCTCGATATCAAGATGTATGGACATAAAAAAAAAATGAATTTCAAGTTTTGGACATAGCGTATTTTGTAACGTATTTTTGGACCATCCATTTCCAAGATTTTCAAGTTTTCATAGATTTGTCGATCTACACTATTTTTGAAGCTTTAAACTTTATAAATAAAGATAAAAATATATTTTAAGGCTGTCACAAATATTTCCAGTATTGAAACTACATTTCTCGACACTATTTGAATGTAGGCTCTAATTTGATTGTTTAGAGCCTAGGCTCTATACAAACTGCACCCATATATTTTTAGATTATTTTCATAGTTTTCAAAATGGAGGGACCTTTCACATTTTTCTTTTTTTAATTTTTCTGAAATATTCAATTTGCAAATCAAAATTTTCAATTATCCATCTTTTCTAAATTGTTTTATCTTATGTAATTCTCACAATATAAAGTGACGACTTATTTAAGCCCTAAGTTTCTAGTAAACTACCAAGAACTCAAATTCTCAGTTTTTCACATTTAATAGTAACAAAGCACAAGTTTCACGTAGTTCGAAAGACTCAAAGCCTTGAACAATGCAACGTGCATTGCATATTCTTTACAAGGGAGATTGTCATTTATCAATGTGGGAAGAGTATGGCATTAAAGTCTTGTTTGGAACTTAAATAACAAAATTAATGTTCAAGAAAAAAGAAAAAAAAGACAAAAAAAGTTACAAGCATGACAAACTCGATGATCATAGGATGAGCTCATTTTGAAATTTAAGGGATAAAATCCAAAGATAAATAGTCTCTTTGTAGACAAACCCCTTATTATATATCTTTTCTAGAATAAATGCATAAATCAAAGCACATACTCATATTAGGTCTATCTAAAAACATCTTTAACAAAATATAAAGGAATAAGATCACGTTATAATATGAAAAAATTCTGTTCCCAAGTTAAGAGAGAATTGCAAGTTGAAAAATACGGCAGATATTAATAATATTGCAAGTAGAAAAATATGACACGTATGAAATAATAGAATGATATTTTGATAAATGTATGTTCCAAAAAAGTCAAACAGTGAAAATATATCTTCTAGGTTACATGCAGATACTATCCAAACAACATTCATCCATCTTTTCGGGATTTAGACATTCGTAGGAGATAACATTTATCAGGAGGCATTTCTAGGAAATGCATCTGCGGGTAGCCAAATATCCGGCATACATGTATTCTTAAATGATGTTTGGATGTATTCAATATCATTGATAATTCCTCTTTTCCATAAAGTTATTCTTGACAATGAATTTTTGTTGTTTGGTAGAGTATATTGTAAAGTTATCTGAGATATTCTTATTAATTATTGTAGTTCTAATTTTGCCTTTCTGAAATTTTATTTTTTTACCTTATTTAAAGTAATTTGCTAAAAAACTACATATTTTTAGCTAAAAATAGTTAAAAATAGCGGAAAACTATTAAAAATTTACATCCAATGAATACAATATATGTGCCAAAAATCAGTAAAATAAAAATTATCAAGAATACATTAATTTCAGATAAAATTAAGATAATTTTTTAAGGTAAAATTAACTGTCTTCTCCTCCTTGGAATGCACTAATCTTGAATCGCATGACAAAGTGATATTTTAAATAAGCATGTATTCTATGCTCCCGCAGGAGCATATTGTAAAAGTACTTCCTTGCGTAGAAAAACTACTTGGGAGAAATTTTTAATTTTTGTATTGTTCTTTTCTTTGATCAAAATTTTTGGGGACCACGAGATGATTATTTTTTATAGGGAAAAAAAAAAAATCAGATTTTGAGTTTTTAACTCTTGGATTTGACTTTTCAAAAATTGGATAACCTATATTCAACCTTGGAACATTAATTTTTAGGTATAGTTTGGATAGGGTTAGAATCTTACTTGTCTACACCTATATTCAATCGGGCCATTATTTTTTAGGTGTAGTTTGGATAGGGTTACAACCTTACTTGTCTACACCAGTGTTTAAAAACTGACGATTTCCTCTATATTACACAAGTCTTGAAACTCAAAAACTGGCCTAGAAGCTAGAAAGCCTCATATCCAAGCACTCGCTTGGCTCTTTGCTTCGTGAGTTCAATCGTTACTAAGTCTTGTCAAAACCCAAGTCAATTACTTTCTCAATAGTAAAGAGCCATTTTTTATGCTGCCCAATAGAGTGGTTTGATTAACTCATATTGCTCAGGGCTTTGCTCGTTGCGCTAACGACCAAACTTGTTGGGTAGCTAGAAACCCAGCCAATAATTTGACCTTGCTACTACTTAATGCATGTATATCTTCGGTTTACAAAATTCTCGGTATTGATAGGTAATGCATATGACAGAACACCTTTGCACTCACATGTAGTAGTCTTGAAAGACCAGTCAGTTAGTGAATGATACTACTAAGGGAACTCTAGCTGACCGGAGTGGATGCCTCTCTCGTGCTGCGCTGATAGAAAAAGCACCTCCCGCCAACTGATCCATCGCACCTTTATGGTGCATCAAATATGTCGGAACCAAATCAATTCTAGCATAGTATGGGTCTCAATTCAATTCTCTTTAAAACTCTCCCTCTCATATTATTAATATTTTTTAACATGTCTAATGTTTTATTAGGTATCTTTAATATTTTTTAACATGTCTAATGTTTTATTAGGTATCTTTAATATTTTTTAACATGCCTAATGTTTTATTAAGTATCATTTAATGTCGACCCTTTAAATCCTTATTTTTATTTTATGTTATTTTTTATCACAAATTTAGATTAATCCAAACATGATTTGAACCATTGAAACCACGATCCAACACGAATTTGTGGGTGAATAATTGTTTGATGGTTCTTGATTTTTAAAACACTTATAATACCTTTTCTTTTAATTGGATGATGTAGATTTGATGTGACAATATCATAAAAACAACCCATCTTTTAAGATATATGCTAATGTTACTTAAATCTATTTCGTCCTAATAAAACCTTATTTCTAAAAGTAATTTCTTTTTTTTTCAAAGGTACAAGGAGTGCAATCTAGAAGAGTTTAGTATTAAGCTCAGTCTCTTTCGTCTCCAAATTTCGGGAGTCCTAAAATTACTCTTTGATTGGATACTGCCCGACGGAATAAATGAACAATATAATCCCCTGGATGTGAAATCTCCAAACGTACGATCTTCAGTTGCATCAACTCACAAACCCTAAGCTCCTTACAAAAGAGCCCTTCTCTGTAAGCCCCACGAGCTTGGAAGGTAGAGAGAGAGAGTACTCTGTTGCCATGGTAAGCAGAGCATCCTCCTGCTAAAACCCTAGAACGTAGGGTTTTTTGGTGCCCATCATTTCTTTTCTAGAATCTTTCCTGCACCATTCATGGCTGCTCGTATTTCAGGGTATCGATATCGTCGCTGGTGGCAAGAGCAAGAAGACCCATCGCACCGCTCCCAAATCCGGTGATGTCTACCTCAAGATTCTTGTCAAGGTTTGAGCTTTCTCTCTCTCTTTCACTCTTTGTTTCTCTCTCATTCCTATCTCGTTTGCTCTCGCTCTATGTTTCTGCGTTTCTCTCTCATTCTGCTCTCGCTCTCTGTTTCTGCGTTTCTCTCTCATTCCTATCTCGTTTGCTCTCGCTTTCTGTTTCTGTGTTTTTCTCTCATCTAATTTATACTCCATGGGCTATTTGACCAGCTCTACAGGTTTCTGGTGAGAAGAACGGGCAGCAAATTCAATGCTGTCATTCTGAAACGTCTCTTCATGAGCAAAGTGAATAAAGCCCCTTTGTCACTCTCTAGATTGATCAAGTTCATGGCCGGAAAAGTGAGCATGCGTACTGTTTTCCTCCATTTCCTTTTAGTTCCCTTCTATTCCTCTGTTTTTTGTAGCATTTTGGGGACTGATGTGCGGTTTTTTTCTTTTTTCTTCTCTCTTTTATAACAGGAAGATAAGGTAGCTGTGATTGTTGGCACTGTAACGGATGACACTAGGGTTTATGAAGTGCCTGCTTTGAAGGTTACTGCTTTGAGATTTACAGAGAGAGCGAGGGCTAGGATCTTGAAAGCTGGGGGTGAATGCTTGACTTTTGATGACCTTGCTCTCAGGGCTCCTCTTGGCCGGAACACGGTAGCTCTCTCTCCCTCTCTCTGCACTTATAAGAATGGATTCATATTGTTGTCAAGTTGATAAAATTTGGATTTACTGAGATGTACTGAATAGATTGTGTCACCCATGTTCCACTTCGTGAAACGATGAATGGTTTGTGCTTAACCTAGTCCTGTAGACGTGAAGGCAGCGACTTGTTGAATTTTGTATGCCTAAAGGTGATAATTAAAGAAAAATAGAAGGATCAAACTCTGAAACATTGCCATGTGAGGCAGATAATGTAGAGAAGGGTGGATGTGCTCTGAATGCTGCGACGAATTTTGCAGTTTTTCGCTAGGAATTTTTATGTTTCTCTCTTCTTCTTCTTTTATATATATATATATATATATATATATATATATTGGATGTGCCAATTCTCTTTTAATTCACCCCTAAGGGACATCACATTTTGGTACTTAACTGTCTCCATGTCTCATTTTTAAACAAAAATTCTTTTAAATAATATAACTTCAAAAAAAAAAAATCTTTTAAATCTTATAATTCTTAAATTCTGATGCACTGGAATAACAGTTGTACCCTTATTTATAACATTCATGAATAAATTAATTATGGAGGTAATTTTACTAACAACTTTCGAACATAATACCCATTGAGAATGCGCTTGTATCATAATGGAAACAGATGACTATGTTGGTGATTTTAGAATATGAAATGTTTTAGTACTTATGGCTTCATTAGATTTGGTGTTTGTTTTGGAAGAGTTGGATGTTCTGGAAAATATAAAGCACTTTCATGTTTATCTAGTTTTGAATTCCTTATTGCAAAAGCATGGTTTCTTTATCATAAGGTCATCTTGTGCGGTAAGCAAGCTTGGGCCAAACCAACTTTTTTCAGTGGGTATTAGCAAAAATGCAGGGATTTTGGGTAAAACCTTTAGGGAATATGGTACGACATGGTCTCTATATTTTGTTACTCTTCTATTCATAAGTATTGTGCTTTGCCTTGATGGATGGCACACATATGTTCAAGCACATAATCTTGGACATATATAAAAATAACGATAAGCATCACTTGTAGTGATGCCCGCGACATACAACAACAATTGCATTTGCATGTCACATCAACAATTTGTTAACAACAGATTGTTGAGATGAACCTATCCATGAAAAACATGGTTTGGAATAACTATTCACATCAACTAGCATGATGTGCAAGTTTCTTCTTGTAAGCTGTAATTCATCACCTTACGTATATATATCTGTAGGGAATGAACTGATAGTTTTGTTTATGCAGTTTGGACTTTAGGATAATTAGAAAAGGAAAAAGAGAAAAGAAGAAGAAGAAGAAAACGTTAGAAGAGTTGTTTAAATGGGAGCATGTGGCCATGTGCATGCCCTCTTAATTATAAATTCTGAAGTTGAATTCTGCTAATTTTTTGCCTTGTTGCTCTATCATTGAGGCTGTAATGAGTCGGGTTTGATAGATTCCAGGTTAGACACCGATTGTTGGGTCTATGCCTACTGGACTTGGACCTAACCTGTTGGGTTGGGTCCAGGTTGAAAAATATATTATATTAATTATATTAATATGGTAATTATATGAAATAGTACTTTATATGTTATATGAGGAAACAACTGTTATTCCAACAATTGGATTTTTAGAAATCTAAATAAAGATATTGTTGGCTTTTCATATTTTTGAGTTACTTATTATCCTGATATGTGTTTTATTGTGTGGTTGACTGCCAACTTGTATTTAAGAATGTTTCTAGGATTAATATTTCCAACTATTTGGTTATCAAAAATTGAATTTATATGAATCTATTTTTTTATGAGGCATCTCATAAAACGACCTTTGAGTCATCGCCTTGTTGCCAAGCAAAAGAAACCAAAAGTCTTGGTTGTCCAATAATTTAGAAACCTAGTTTATCATAGCCATTTCAGTAAACACTTAATGAGCAGATTTTAGATTTAAAGGGTTAGTAGGTTAAGGGAAGCTCTATTGAGTCCATGTTTCACATACATGCTAGAGCGTGTAGATTAATTTTTGGGGAAGTGATGATAGGATCTGGACCATAACATCTTCACATAAAGTAGGATCATTGGAAGCATTATGTGACCTCCCCTTCCTGCTTCTTTCACCATCTTCAGGCCCTTGAAATCTTCATGAGTTCTCTCCCTTTTACTTGCATTTTCTCAAACACAACTTCAATCCCAATTGTGTGAAAGGAGGAAGAAGATTTGTCCATTCTTAGGACTTGTAATATGGGGTTGGAATTTCTTAGTGCAGCTGTAAGACTGGTCATGCTTTATGGGATAGGAATGTTGGGTGGTCAAAAAACAATATTTTTATGGAATGAGTGTAGTTGAGATGAAGATGTTGAGATGGATGAGTGGCAAGGCAAGAAAGGATATAATTATGAATGGATACATATGAGGGAACTTAGGGGTAGCTCCAATAAGCGATAAGACTCAGATAAGGCTCGTGTAGATTCCAACTAGTTGGGATAAGACTCAGATGATGATGATACAAGGTTGGATTAGGTTAGGTTAGGTCGGCCCAGATGCAACCCAACTCGATGTGGTCCAGGTTGGACCTGGTCCCAAACTCAACTTCTTGGGTCGAATGCCAGATCCAAACAGAGCCATGTTTTAAGGCCTGACCTTACTTGTTTCTCACTATTGCCTCCTATGTGGGATCTTATACTGCAAACAATCCCCCCCGTACCCCCCGTCTTCCCCCAATTGTGGATCTTGAGCATGTTTGATTGTGTGGATGTAGTATTTGTCAACTCAATGGAAGTGTAAGTTGTGAACTACAAATTCTCGTGCTCCCACCTATGTGGTTTTCATTTATATGGCCTTGGCGCTATCTAACTCAATTAGTGAGGTTTTAACTCTATGATTCACATGTATGTGCTCCCACACGTGAGTGTTTCATTGTAATCACTTTGGGGTTTAAACTTTAAGCGTTCCAATTCCACTACATCTCCAACCTACATTCCCTTATACTTCTTGCGTGCTTCTTATGGTATCTGTTTTATAACATTACGTTAAAAATAAATAAAATTAAAAGGTTAGAGCATTATGTTCTCTTCATCTATTTGAATTACCCAATAAATATGTTCAATGACCCAATCTATTTTGATTGATTATGTTGTTTTGGTTGCGTACCATCTATAACTGTTGTATCAAATACGCATCATAGAACTATAAGTTTGTCTCTTCAATTTGGTTTCCCAGCCTAAATGGATTTAATTCACATTTGGGAGTGTCAGTGCTATAGCTTTCATTGGTTGACATAGATGAGGAGCCCCAGCTGAGGCGAATCCACTGCATTTTCATACGAGAACACGCATCAAATGTGGTCATCATTCCCAAAATTGAGTGCTTCCACCTTGATAGTGGTGCAAATGTGCTGGTCGTCCCAATGTGGGCTGAGTTCTGGGCCCTTTCACAGGGCCTGTTGGGCTTTATTTCTAAGGCCCTTGAGTTTAACTGATGGGGACGAGTCCAGGGCCTTATTTTGAGGCCCTTATTTTATATGGTGGTTTAGTTCAATATGGTAAACATGGTCCAGTCCAGTCTGACAGGACTTGAAGGTCCGTTCTGACATGGGCAGGGTCCAATTTTCTTGTGTACTTTCTGAGGAAACAATTTTTGCTAATTACTATTTTGGGTAGTATGTTTGCTAAGTTCCCTTGAAGATAACTCATATTATATTATCAATAGGTTAATGCCAGTACCAACATCTATGACCTACATGGAGAGGTTGTTGATGAAGGGAATTTAGTGGAGTCAAAATCCTTCAGTCTGGGTGTGCATCAGCATATGTGATGACAAGAGAAGAGGAGAGAAAAAAGATGTTTTCAGAGTAGGGTATTTAGTCTCTGATTAGCATGAATTTTTCAGCATTGAAAATCTTGGACTCAGCTTGGGACTGGACCTGGCCTTGAGCTGACTTGCCAGAATACCATAGAATTTTTCAGGAAAAAAAAAATGGAACTTAGTATCACTAATATACTTGGGTAGTGCGTGAGCCAATCTTGCTTGAGCGAGCCATGAATTGACTTGCCAAGTTTTTCAACATTGGTTTATGGTAGATTATATTTCTCTTTTGATGATCATGAAGCCTAGATTTCAACCTTGTGGCTCTAATGTGCGTACATGAGGTCTGTAGTATTTCCCATTGCAGTGGGCCTTGTTGCTGGCACATGAGAGAGTTGCCTCCCTTATCAACAAGGTTAGTTGTAAGGATGGGATTTTGAAGGGTGGTGCATAAGCATTGTTTTCTTTTGTCAGATTGGTTGGAGTGATGCTCGAGTAAGCACACATGTAGGCGGCAGCTCTTAGGAGTAAGGGGCAGTAGTTATTTGATTCATTTTCGTGCTTCCCTTTTATGTGATTGACATGACTCTCTTAGTGGGATCACAAATTAGAAGATCTTCCGGGGTATTTCTAATGACTTTCGAGCGCTAGACAGCCTACCTATGATTGGGAGATCTGTCAGAGACAATTAGTGAGGATAAGATTTACCGATCTTGGTATAATGTTGTGCATAATTTGATGCCATGGAACGCACTTCTTGTTTATTGAAGGATTGAATGAATCAAGGGTGGTTATTCCTAAATGACCAGGTTTGCAAGGAATTGGGTCTGCAATGGTCTAGGCGGTGCTCCTAATAATTGTGACAAATTTTTTAGGGGCATGCATCGTTCATGAAGCTGGTAGAAGGGCAAATCATAATCCATAATCAGTTTGAATATTTCTCTTGCGGCCTGTCATAATAGCTAACTTCTTGTTTATGAAGGTGAAATTGGTTCCTATTTTTTGGTGGTATTCTGGACTTTTGATTCTTCTATTTGACAATATGTGCTTCTCTACTGCCAGTCATCTTTCATAAAAGAATATCTGGAACATTCTTGCGCCTTTCTCATGATGCTGAAATTTTTATTCTTGGGTAATGTATCTAATTGTGATTCTTCCATAATATATCTTTGTCTTAGAAGGAAAAACTGAAGGTTGCATCTTTTTTTTTTTTTGTCTATTTTTACTACTTTAGTTTTTGCTTTTGATTAAGAAAATTGGGATTGGCAGAATATTTGTTGGTACTATCCACAGTTTATGCCTAATGGTCTTGAGTTGTATTCCCATGCGGAATCCAGGTTCTTCTTCGAGGTCCCAAGAATGCACGTGAGGCAGTGAAGCACTTTGGGAAGGCCCCAGGTGTGCCTCACAGCCACACCAAGCCATATGTTCGATCCAAGGGCAGGAAATTTGAGAGAGCGAGAGGGAGGAGGAACAGCAGGGGCTTCAGGGTTTGAAAGGCTACAGGCAAGCCTTGGCACTTCTGTCTGGTGTATTATTAGAGGTCTGGTCGACTTTGCCTTTGATTTATAATTTTGGTGCAAAACATTTTAGAGAGCTGTGTTTTCATTCTCTTGGTGACCAAGGTTGTGCACCTGTAAGATCTTTGTTTCTTTTGAATGGATATATGGAATCCAATTTTCCAAACTTGCTTCTAAGTGTGCTTTGAGAGTTTATCCGCTTCAATAGATTTGCTGTGGTATCATTACCATTTATTACTTCTTGATTAATGTGGTTATATCGTCTTTGTTTGCATTTTCGATCTCTTTTCACATGGAAGAGTGGTGAGGCTTTTGTCATAGATTACAATCCTAGCACTCATATTAGAAACCTTTATCAGACAAGCAATTCCAAAAATTACGAATAGAATGTCAAATTTGAAAGATGATATCAAACCTTAAAACTTATTGAAGATGTTCCTCCAAAAATGTTTTTTGGAGATGGAAGGAAATTGACCCGTTTTAGATGCCTTTTGCAGCTAGTTGTTGAATATTGTCTATAAGCTTTGAATTTTTGTGAATATTAAGCTTGTGATGGGATTTTACGGCTCATCTCTGATGTCTAAATCACAACGTCCATAGCAGCAGGTCATCTGTGATGTCTAAACAACGTCCATAGCAGCGTTCCATGACTATCGAGTTTGTGAACTTGGGTGAGTTACTTGGACTCACCCTATGGGCGAGGCTGAGTAGGAGGCAAGTTCTACAGCAACTCGCCCCATCCTCATAAGTGTAGTCAAAATATAGAAGAATAGGAAAAAAAGTAGAAAATTTGGGAAACACCACTATATTTCTTATTCTTTAATATTCAGAATCTAACTCAAAATTTTCAATAATCCATATTATATATATATATTATCTTTTTATAGTCTTCTAATGATCTCTAGAACCTCTTTTATTTTATTTTTAGCTATTTTTAGAAAAACAGTTTTACCCTTCTCTGATTTATTTGGATTTATGTGATTTATTTGGATTTATGTGACTCGGCTGTATCCACTCATACTTGGCCCTTGGCCGATAGGAGTTTCTGAATGTTGGTCCATGGTGTGGGCCTGAAGTACAAAATAATGCTGCGCTCTGATTCATTGAAGAAGCTCAATTCTAGCCAGGAGTGTATATGTACATGGATGTATGGCTTTGTCCTAAAATAGAAAGACCAAAGTGGTAACTAACAAAACAGGGTAGTCTCATGGCCCTATGGGATATGTGGTCATGCGGCTCATAACTTTCAATTCATTGATTGGATCACTATGCTTCACCAAACATTATGATGCTAGTGGATATTTGAATACTCTCAAGAATACACGCACTCTTATGCACGCGAATATATACATATTAGAAGTCAATGCTTTGCATTGATTGCACTTCCTCCCAATATCTTGTCATGCATCGAATCGACGTCATTATCATTATCATCTAAGTTTTATCCCAATTATATGGATCAGCTACATTAATCATATGATGTTATTCTACTCTATCAAATGTCATACTTGCAATTAAGACTGCTGGTATAGTAGGGAACACTTTAGCATCAATATTATTAAACATGTTTAGGATTCATGATGATAAGATGTAATAGTTTTATGTTGGTTGCTAACCTAATACAACATTTCTTCTTTCTCCAAACTTGGAAATGGCAAATGACATTGAGGATTTATTTATTTTCTTAAATTCTCAACAAGTTATAAAAAAAAAAAATCCTCCAATTAAAACATAACATTTGTTTTATTAATGTTAACTTAGACACTAGAACTAGAACTCTTGATATCATGTCGTGCTACATGCCATGCCCGGACCTGGAGCTATTGAAGATAGGGGTGGCATTGGGCCTGACTAGACTTGGGATCGGATGGGTATACCCGACCTCGGGTCAGGGCATGGGTCCAAATTTTGGACTCAAAAAACTGTTCGTGTTTGAGTCCAGGTCCAGCTATACCCGACTTGTACCCGTAATCATAAGGTATATAATGGCAATCATTTGTCTTTAGGCGTGTGCTAGGTGTTCATATTGTTACAATATTTGCAATATTTACAGTATTAATGGCAAAAAGAAAAAAGCTCATAGCCATAGGGTAGCAATGGATCCGACTAGACCTGAGACCTGATAGGTCTTGATATGGGTTCAAATTTTGGACCTGAATACTATTCGGGTCCTGGTCCAGGTGTAGCTGGACCCGACCTGTTGCCACCCCTAATTGAAGATCATCTATTGGAAAAAATAAACAAATTCGATACGATTTGCCACCCTTAATTGAATATCGTCCTTGTGATTGTTAATGATGCAGTTTTGCATTTTTGGGGATTTAATTTTATATACTAGGGAACGGGTCACCTGCAGCACACGTTTTAAGGATGGTATCTATATTCCATTATTAAGTCAAAGGACCCTATCTTTAGAGAAAGTATAGAGTAAGAGACCTTTAAAATAAAGAGTGTAGGGTACATTGTAGGGTCATAGATTCTATTTTCTTGGGATATAAAAGACATCTTAAATTTAATTTTTATCTATTTCCTAAATTTTATGGAGCTCCTACTTAAATTGTTTTTTTTTTTTTTCTTCTAAAATTTAGTTTCCTTACCATCTATCGGGCCACCCTCTTTTCTCTCTCTCTCTCATCTGTGTTGGAGAACTCGCTCCGATAATTCTATTTCTATGGCAATTATTTAGGGACAAGATAGAAAGAAAAAAGATAAGTAGTGCATGATTCATTCCATATTTTATGTATAGGTTCTTTTTAAAATTTTAGATAATGAATGATTGCATGTTTTAGAACAATCCACTTGGAGAAAGAACAAGGAGTCACTATAATTGACTTTATTGGTCTCTTTCTTAATAGGAAACTCCATCGAATTGCTTGGTTTGATGCCGTTGAGAAGAGAAGTCTCTAGAAATGAGTTCTCTAGGTTTTTATGAAAATCCCAAACCCACCCACGTATAAATCTTATGTTGGGCAAAGACATATTTAATATGCAGTCATAATTATGGAGATTTTGCATAACAGGAAGAAGAGAAGTCTTAGATGTACCAAGTGAAGATTAAATTTTGTAGTAAGTGATAATTTCTCATTTGTTTTTTATAGAATGAGAATAAATGAGTAGTTGTTATGTGTTTATATATGGATCAAATAAGTAAAGGTGAGGTTTATGTTAGGTGATACAGAAAATTGTTTAACACAATGTTTCAAATGCATTGCACTGTACCAACTTTTATAAGTGTCTGTGGGAAAAGAAGAAGAGTAATCACCTAGGTCTCTACATCCAAATTTTGCAATTCTACATTTATATGATTATTTATGTGAAGGAAAATTGTTTCATGTGGGTTAGATTGCATTTCTACATATGCAGTCCAGAAAGTGCAAAGCATCCTTCTGAAAGATGGATGCAAGTAGGTGTTCCATCTTTAAAAACAATGGAAACTAATGGGCCAAATGTTTTCTTACTAGAATTATTATTTCTATTTTTTAAAATTTATTTATTTTTTCATATTCATGATCTCTATGTTAGAGATTATATGTCATTAAAAATTAAGTCTTAAAATCCATCTAAAAAATAGATTTATTAACAGACTTGCATTTCTATATATGCAAGCTTGGTCGCATAGAAATTGGGTTCTTATGTGAATGCTTATTACATTTCAATGTAATATCCATTGCATATTCACACAATTATTTATACGATAGCTTATTTTCATTTCTACATGCAACACACGTAATCCAACTAATCTTAGTCAAGCCATGTCCTCCAAAAAAACCCCAAGTTATGAAAATGAAAATTATTTCAATTTCACATAAGAGAGGAGACCATATTCTACCGCATTCCTCCAGAAAATGATATTTAATAGGTGTCCATTATCTTGATTCTTGAAGATAAGGAATTAATTAACATGTCTTTAGGTCTATGTTGAAAAAATTCTACGTATTTTTAAGAATTTCCATTATTGAAAATCCTTTCCCCCCCCCCCCCCTCCACACACACACACACAAATTTTATGTCATTATATTCCTATATGTTTTTTTATCTTTCTTTTTTTTTTTAAATATAAAAATGACGTAATTGGCCTTAACACCTTCTAGGTCTTAAGTTCTTCCCAGACTCCCAAGAGAAAAACTTAGAATTTTGAGGCCCTGTTTGGTTCCCTGGAAATAGGTGTTCTAGGAGATACATCTCCTAGAATTAGTATATCCTATAATTAGTATCTCTTGGAATATGGATGTTTACTGCTTGGATATCATCTAATAAGAGACATGTAAGATGCATATCTATTGTTTGAATTATATTAATATTATTATATTATAAGTCTACTGGATGCGGTTCGACTGGAAACAGCTTGAGTCAGTAGTCCCCAAGTCCCCATATTATGGGGGACCGTCAATCACATCTAGCAAGGTTTGGAACGAGTGCTTTGACCTATGCTGGGAGCATTTTGGGGTGTAGGTCTAACCACCTGAACTCCTCGTTCTGGCATGCTATAGTGCTCTCTTGACGATTGGAATACAAGATTTCCAGTAAGCTTGATGGTTTACAAACCATCGGTGTATTTTGTTGCGCTTCCATCACCTTTGTAAAGGGGTTTATTAGAAGGTTTGAAATTACTAATGCATTTTGGACGGGGGCAGGATTATCGAAGGAGACTCGGCAAATGTCATTGCTTGGAGTAAGAGAAATACCCATATTCTTTGGAGATTAAAGATTATTTTTCATCAAATTTGAGATATTTTGTCAATCTCTATGGCAATGGTCCAACATTGTTATAGAGAGGCGAATGAAGATGCCGATGTTCTTGCCAAAAGAGGAGTCCATACTCCCTTTCTGTTGGTTACTTCATTTATGTGTCTTGTGTTTTTGCTTGAACATCTTGTATTTTATATATAAATTAATGATAAGTTGTATGTTACCTTAAAAAAAAAAAATCACCATTGTGAAGGGGCGCACTCCAATACCATTGATGTCCAATAGCTTTGCTAGTAATGGCTGGATCTAATAATATTATAGTGTAATTTTATAATATTTTATTGTGGGTTATTTTAGGGTACTCTTACACATGAAGTATTTTCTTAATGTACTCAATATTTTTGGACACTTGGTTCTCTTGATTTATAATACAAAATTTTTCAAACAAAGATATTTTTGGTCATCAGGAATGGTAGAATATATATTTTTATAATTTTTCAAACAATGGCATTGTTTTA